GTCTTTAGTGTTGAATGCATCCCATCATATTATATATGACAGCAAATTATTAAGTTTTCTGTTATTTCTTCCATTTGTCTTATACTCCCATTTCTCACTGAATTCTCAATTTTCTGTGTTCTGTTTAGTAACCCATGCATACAGAAGGATTTCAAGCCTCTTTATATCAGTCACTCTGTTGTGAACTTTGGTAAACCTGCCTGTCTTTGATGTCATCTGTACCATAGGAACCTAATTTATTTGGTATGAGTAAAAAGTACATGAGAAGAAATATCTGAGCTTTAAAGGATGGCATAGCAGATTAGAGCTGCTTTTGCCAGCTCACACTGCTGTGGGAGCCTAGAAGAATGGATGCTAGACTATTTGGTTTCAGAATGCAATATATGCTAGGGGATTGGATAACCGGCTACTGCTCTCTGTGAATTTCTTTTAATTTTCAAGGTTCTAGAAATCTCGATACATGTGATGTAGGGACATGTCTCCTCACTTAGCCCACAGTTGGAATGTCAAAGAAAGTCTTGAAGCCTTCACACTCAGTGCTTTATATTACTACGTATGCATACCATTGACTTTATACTTGTTATTTTTCTAATTATATTCATTATTTTTATATTTGTAATCATTTCTACATGTCATAGTATACTATTTCAATTATAATTTGTTATTGGAACTCAATCTAATATATTTTTGAAAGCTCAGGGTTAGGTCAGAGAAGAAACTAGTAGAATATCCCTTGGTTCAGAGATGTAGTCACAGGAGGATTAACTATTTTCTTTCAAGATGAAGAACCTTCCAGTCACACAGAATGAAGTCAGAAGAGGAGACATTGCAGTTGTCTGATAGTGGCTAAGGCAGATGGTAATGTTTAAGGCTGGGCTCTGGAAAAAATGAATCAGCAATTTGAGCCAGGCAATCTGAGAAATAGTGACCTATCAAGACACCCCTAGAATCAGGTCTGATCTGCTATGAACAGGAGAGTTTCAGACCATGTAACTAAAGCATAAGGTAGGTGCTGTTTGCATGTTTTGAGTAAGGAAAAATTCTCCTATTGTGTTTCTTCTTAATGTAAGTTTTCTGAAAAGTAACCAAGGGGTGTCTTTAATACAAGGTACTTTTTTTCTCAGAGAGAAATTTAGAGTAAATTCCAATTGAAATCTTGAAAAAGGCTTTGGAAGTGAGTAATTCCTTTATCTTCCCATTTACTCAATTCTCTCTAGAAGCTCAGGGCATCTCCTAAACAGTGAGCTATAACAAACCATATTAGCCACTTAGTGTGGAAAAAGAAGAAAATAACAAAGATGAATAGTTCGATTCCCTCCTTTACTCCTCTTCACACTCGTGCTTACAGAATTCTCAGATACAGTGTAACTGATTTCCCTAAAATCCTTGTCGGTGTTAGGTGCCCTCCAGTCATTTCTGACTCATAGAGACTCTGTAAATGGTCTATGAAGTTATAAATCTTTACAGGAGCAGAAAGCCTTGTCTTTTTCCAGTGGAGTGGCTGGTGGATTTGAACTGTTGACCTTACAGCTAGCAGTCAGAGCAGAGCCACCAGCCCTCCCATATGCACTATCACTGAAATGAAAGAGTATTCTTTCTGGAATGTAATTTTAAAATGCAGTTCTATATTTGAAGCATATGTAATTTTCATTAATAAATTAAAATAAATCATCCCCATATTTCATTCATGTTTCTACCTAAATATCACTTTGGGAGCAAGGAGCACCTTCATGGCCATATTTTAAATGATACTAGCATCAGAATTATCTAGTTGACATGCTTTATTTTACTTCAAATCTCTTATATCTCTTGTATACCTGATGATATACAGGTGCACCAAGAATATAAATCTGAAAGACCTGGGATCTTGATGGAAGACATTGTATCACCCTAAAATAATATCAATAATGTAGACATTGTATCACCCTAAAATATCACCCTAAAATAATATCAAGAAATAAAATCAGAAACTTTAGATTTGTTTACTGTATTTATAGGAAGTATATTAATGTTTTTGAAGGTTTAAATTTATTCAGACTTCAAAGACTGATATGTCTCCTTCATAATTTTCCTCTGCTACAAATGTATTGTACTTTCTTTATTTGATGTCATTTGCATATTTTTGTTTTATCTCAGATTACAAAAGAACACAGAGAGATGTACCACTCAAATGACACCAAGTTCCACCCCTCCTTTTTCTTGCTGTTGGGGGTTCCAGGCCTTGAAGAGATGCACATTTGGATCGGGTTCCCTTTTTGCTCTGTGTATTTGATTGCTCTTGTGGGGAACACCACAATCTTGTTTGTCATCAAGAATGAAAACAGCCTTCATCAGCCCATGTTTTACTTCTTGGCAATTTTGGCCTCCACTGACTTGGGCCTATCCACAGCCACTATCCCCAAGATGTTGGGCATCTTCTGGTTTAACTTAAGAGAGATTGACTTTGGGGGTTGTGTTACCCAGATGTTTTTTATTCATCTATTCACTGCAATGGAGACTGTTCTGCTGGTTGCCATGGCCTTTGATCGCTATGTTGCCATTTGTAACCCTCTCCGGTACAGCCTGATTCTCACTAACAGAACCATTGGTCTTATCCTCATGGTGGTGTTTGGTGTCAATTTCATTTTGATTATCCCTCTGGTGTTTCTTATCTTGAGACTTCCCTTCTGTGGACACTATATAATCCCCCACACATATTGTGAGCATATGGGAATTGCTCGGCTAGCTTGTGCTAATATAAAGGTAAACATGATATTTGGTTTAATTCTTGTATCTACAGTGTTTGTTGACGTGATTTTGATTGCCATATCCTATGTGAGAATACTTGGGGCTGTGTTCAGCCTTCCTTCTAGAGATGCTAGACTCAAAGCACTTAATACATGTGGCTCCCACATCTGTGTAATCCTAGTCTTCTTCATACCTGCTCTCTTTTCCTTCATGACCCACCGGTTTGGCAAGAACATTCCTGGATACATTCACATTCTCTTGGCCAATCTGTATGTTGTTGTTCCACCTGCCCTCAATCCTGTGATCTATGGGGTCAGGACTAAGCAGATTCGGGAGAAGGTTTCAAGTATCTTTTTAAAAAAGGACTAGCACAAATTGTCTCTAAAATATGAATTTTACTCAAGAGTAACGATACTGTGTTTCTCCACTAAAGAGTCTTGCAATGACAAAAAGTCCCTGACCTTAGTATACTGCTATTCATAATTTCTCTAGACAGCCACTACAAACCACATAATGTGATTGTTAGAAAAAACTCACTGTGAACCTTTCTGAATACAACATATTTATAAGGTTTCTTATGATTATATTTTTCTGTTCAGCCACTACAGAGCAAGGTTTGGTAGAAATGATCATGTGGAATAAAATGTTTCGACTCCTGATTTGGTGCTTTAAGGTAAACACTGGACTGCAAAATACAAAGTTTGTGGTTCAAAACCACCAAGTGCTCTCAGGAGCCCTGTACAAGATTGCTTTGCATTGTAATTGACTAGACAGCACTTAACAACAATATTTTTTTACAGATAGTTAATGCTGTTGACTATATTTTAAATTATATATATATCAACATCAAGGAGCACAGGTTTTTAAAACTTTTGGCATATTCTTCCATTACTTTATTAATTGTTTTTAATATCATATAATAAAAAAATAAAAATAAATTTTAATTTTATGATTTTTTAATTATATGATATACTAATAGATCCTGCTGTTGTTGTTAAGCGCTATCAAATCAGTTCAAAGTTATAGCAACCATGTATAACATTTCTGTGAGGCAGCTGGTGGATTTGAACTTCAGACCTTGTGGTTAGCAGTGCAGTGATTATCCTACAACACCACACATAAATCCTAGAAGTAAAATAAGGAGAAAATAATTTGAGGCAATTTCCTCCTGACAATGTAGCACTGTGTGGAATATTTCTGGGCTTATCACATCTAGGAAGATCTTTCCATAAGTGACCTATTATTCAAAGTGGATTCCTCTGTGTGTAGATGTTTGTTTGTGTATGTGTATAGAGAGTGTAACATTCATAGACACATCAATGTGTATCTCAGGACACCCTCAAATGTGTGAATCCCCACACATGTCAATTACATTGTCAAAGATCAAATGTAATATTCTAGATAGTAATTACTCTGAGACTCAGAAACTTACTTATCTGTACATGTATTCACTATGTATAAAGTTAGCATCTAGCCCTTTTTTAGCTTGTACTTCTGACTTATCAGATGAGCATCAATATCCAAGTCATTAGAATATATATATATTTTTAGTCAATGGCGTATATTTGGCTAGTGTTAACATCTCTGGTATCGTAGTGGTTACGAATCTGGCTGCAAACTTCAAGGTCGGAAGTTTGAAACTACCAGCGGTTCCGCGGGAGAAAGATGAGGTGGTCCTCTCCCGTAAAGATTTACAGCCTCGGAAACCCTCCCTGTACAGGGTCGCTATGGGTCTGAATCGACTCGACAACAATTAACAACAACATCCTGTTACTTACTTTATAGGTACTTAGTAACTGATGGTTGGTTTTTTTTTTTGTTTGTTTATTCTTGTTTTGTTTGCTTTCTCAAAATTAAAATAAGATAGATATATAGAAAAGAAAAAGAATCTTAGATATACTACTGGATAATTTTTTGCAAGTATATAAATCTATGCATTACTGGGCAAACAGGATCCTGCACTTTGGAATACCTTTGCTGAGCTTTTCCTCTTGTGGCTGGGACTAACTCATGAATGCAGTGTTATCTGGCTTGGGTAACTTACATTTGGTCAGGGCACTGTGACCCCAGATAGAAATTCCCTGGATCCTTGTCCCTGTTTGTCCCTTTCAGTACTATCCTGTGGATACTTTCCACCCCTCCTCTACTCTGCAGTCCAAGGAGCTCTAGGACTCACACTTATGGGGTTATCCAAGGTCCTTTTTGTGCTTTTGATTTTAGAGTGGTGGTCTGGAAAGCAGAGTGCTTTGATAACTGTGTAGTATTTGTTTCATGGAATCATTGAAGACTGAGCTGCAAGATGGTGCTGGAATACTAATATTGGGTGCTTATAATTATTGATATAGGGTAAAGTCCCACAAAAAATATTTTCCTGGGGACCTGCGCATTTTAAGAAATACCCTAAACTTATGTAATCACCACTCACACCAAATATTACCATTAATCCATAGGAGGCCTTCATACCTCTAAAGTAATTATCTCTCAAAATTCATAATTTTTCTTATTTTATTATGGTAACTTGGATAGGTTATGAATTTCAGATAAATTAAATTATGTAGTATGTACCTTATGTGAGTCATCTCTCACTCAGAATTATGCCTTTGAGAATCACTCGTGTGGGTGTATAAGAGTCAGTAAAAAATTATTGCTAGTAGAGTTCCAATTCTTACATGCACTGGTTTATCCCAAACAAAATATACTTAAACATGTTTCTGTGATTAGTAAACGGCTACATACAAGTAATCTCAGTAGTACACTTGCCTTGGTCTCATCATGGTGCCATTTTTTTAAAAAAAGGATACTTTTTGTGTCATGTGAGAAAAAAACAGAAAATCAAGGGGCTGATATAAAACTTTTAATGAAACTAAAGTGGACATCTTTCTAAGTCATTGATGGTTCTCAACAAGTTTATAGAATACTATCCCATATAACTTAACTACAACAGCAATTCCACATAAAGCAACAGATTTTAGATGGATCAAGGGTTTTAAGGAAGATTGGGAAGACAAACAACATCAATTAATAAAGAAACTGGGTTAAGTCCAATAATAATTGGAAGAAGATCACAAAATAACCAGTGATGTAATAGCTACTGAAATTGGGATCTCACATTATTCCTCATCTTCAATTGATCTCAGCAAGTTTTAGCCTCAATAGGTGCCAAAGATAGCTCAAAGACCTGATCTTTCCATCAGTCTTTTAACCAACATTGGAGCTATTAAAAATGATTCTGCAGAATGAATAGAACCAAGGATGAGTGTTGGCTAACATGATCCAGACAGGAAGGTCCATTCAAAATAAAGGCTTCTGCGGGGATCTACTGGGCCTTTAAATTCAAAGCAGAGAGGCCAGTTCAGAAAGTTGTGGTGATTGTTTGGGGGTATTAAAAAGAGATGATATTGATAGATATTCTTGAAGGACATAGAATGATCGTGGGGGCTTATTAAGAAAAGTTTAAGAAAATTGAAATCTGCATTGTTGAGAAAAAGTTAGGAATATTGAGCTGAGAGATTTTTTTTTTTACAGTACAGCAATGCTCCTGCTTAGTGTTTTTCTTCTTGGAACTCAAAGACCCTTTAAAATGAACATTATTTGAGTCTGTCAAGGTTGCCAAAACTTCTGTTTGACATCAAGTAAATCAGACAGAGTGCAGAATTGTTCAGAGTAGCATTATTGTTGCTGTTGGGTGCCACTGAGTCAGTTCTGACTAACAGTGATCTTGTATAGAGTTTCTGAGAGTGGCTGATAAGTTTGAACGGCTGACCTTGCAGTTAGCAGTCCAATGTTTATACTATAGACCCACACCAGGAATCTAGGGTAGGGTGGGAGAGTTAGAAATATTGCCTTCAGAGCACAACCTATGTTGAGAAACAATGGTTTCACATTTTGACATTTTTGTTTTATAAAGTTTCTATGATTCTATAGCAATACTTTATTACTTGGCTTCATATATTGGTGTAGTTTGCTACTTTCTATAGTATTCCATGACACAGAAATATAATATTCAATTATCTACCCTGGATGGGCATTTATATTTTACCTGATTTTTTACGAGTATGAATATTCTTGTACGTATAATTTCAAGGTCATTTTCAATCAATATAACTCTCAAGGCCAGAAATGTTGGGTGTCAGGTAGTGTACATGTTTAGCATTAGTAGACTGTGTAAAATAATTTTCCAAAATTATATACTTTTCTCCATCTCTACGAGTTATATATATGAGTATTTCAACTACTGCATACCGGTACCCCATAAATTTTTTCTAAGTGTGTGTGTTTGTTTGTGATGGAGTGTGTGTGTATTTAAAAAAAAAAAAAGTTTTATTGTGATTTAGGTGAAGGCTTACAGAGCAAATTCGTTTTCCATTAAATGGCTCAGATACATTTTGCTTCATGTCATTGATTTCAATTCCCACAATATCATATCATTTATCCTACTTCATTCCAATGATTCCTGTTTCTATTAATTCCCGGTTATTCATTCCAGACTTTGTCTTTGGGCAAATGCTGATGTCAAATGGTTGATTATACTGAGGTCTGCATACCTCCCTAGTGTTACAGCTTGACTGAAAAATGCGCCATGAGGGAAGGTCATTTCCAGACCCGAAAAATATCTGAAGGCCATGGTCTCAGGTATTCCACTAGTCTCGATCTCACCAATAAGCCTAGCCATTTAAATTATTTTTAATTTTGTTTGACATTTTTTCTCCCTACTCTATTAAGGAAATTCTATTGTGATCCCTTTCAGAGCAGTCAGAAGTGGTATCTGGATTCTGTCTAAGTTTTTATGGTCTCAGAGTAGTGGAGACTGACTTTTGCATATTTCATTAGTCTTTTGAACTAAGTGCTTCCATACATCTTTAACTTTCTTATGGCTATTGGCCATTTAGATGTTCTTTTTTAGAGCATACGTTTTTCAAAATTGTGTTTTTTCTTATCAAGCTGTACAGCATCTTCCCCCATCAAGTGAATTACCTTTTCACTCTTTTAATTGTGTCTTCTTATGAATTCAAGTATCTACTTCAAATGAAATCCAATTTATTATTTCTCATTAAAATTAATGTCTTTTGTATTCTTTTGAAGAAATCTTTGCATAATATAATAGCATGAGTACACCTCCTATGTTACCATCAACATTTTTTTTTTTAATTCCACTTTCTATATTTAGGTTAATGTTCCACATAGAATAGATTTTTGTTCCACATAGAATAGAGAAAAAAATTTATATGTGAATATCAAACTGATGTGTTGTTGTTGTTGTTAAGTGCCATCGAGTTGATTCTGACCCATAGCAGCCCTGTGTAGGGTTTCCAAAGAGCAGCTGGTGAGCTTGAATCGCCAACCTTGCAGTTCAAATGGCTTTGCAGTCT